GTATTCACCCGTGAATATTTAAAATGTCAAGGTATGTAGCTCGGACGGACGGACGGACGGCCGAGTGATTTCGCATATCAAAACCTGCTGATGGTTGACAGTCGGACGGACGCACGGCTTGTGTATGCAGATGAAGGGTCATCATAAATGACAATGTCACATTATTTTGCTCACGTACTGAATAAACTATGTGTATTGAGTGCAGACCGCCGCCACTCTCTCAACTTGACAGCATAACTTGTCTGCCGAGTCCTTCATCACACAACTGCTGCTGCTCCTGGTTCCCCTTCACTGCTTGATTGCTTGTCTTCTTTCATAACTCTAAGCATGCGGCAATAATTAATTAACTTGAAATGCGTAGACATATCTTGACGTGCTACAAAAATTTTAAGTTCAAACTGTCTTTTGTTAAAGCAAATTAATATTGTTCCAGAAGAGCACATAGTGGCATCAAAACTAAATTACTTGACAAAAAATAGAGAAAAAAACAAGCCAACTTAAATATTCCAATTAAAATGGCAACGGTAGAGTATAATATTTTATTAGCTTTTATTTCTGTTATAAATACAGATAAATAATAAAAAAATTGCTTATATTGTGGCTGAAGCAGCTCAAACTATCACAGCTGTGGTTGAGTGCCACAAATATTTGTGTTGGACGAGCAATAGAATAATCATACATGGGTGCGCTCAACAATTTTGCGCTCGCGCTCGCGCTCGCGATCACTGGCAACAGTGCGCTCGCGCTCTGCGCTCGCGATCAAGATTTTGAAAATGTTGCGCTCGCGCTCTGCGCTCGCGCTCAAATTTTTTAAAAGTCTTGCGCTCACGCGTTGCGCTCAAAAATATTTTTATCCGAAGAAAAAGTGCGACTTTTTAGACAATTTTTTAATATAACAAAAAATACATCGGCAATTGGAAAAGATAAAGTTGAAGTTAAATTACCAAAATTGGGATCAGTTTTTTAGTTTTTGGTATAAAAACACTGTTTTTCGTTACAATTTTTGATCAAATTCGGGAATTTTTACTTTTGGTTTGAGCGCAAAATGAGCGCAATTGAGCGCTGCGCTCAGCGACCAATGCGCTCGCGCTCTGCGCTCGCGCTCACGATTTTGAAAATCGTGCGATCGCGCTCTGCGCTCGCGCTCATGAGCGCAGAGCGCGAGCGCAGATCGCAGAGCGCAAAGTGCGCTCTGCCCATGTATGAGAATAATTAATATAAATTGTAAATGTAATAAAATCTTCTCCCATAAAATCTATATTGAATTTAGGAATTAAAAAAAAATCCATTGAGGGTTTAATTTGAGATTTAGTTTTGTATTCACAAAAAATTATTTGTTACACCTTTTTAAAAAGGTTGAGTGGAAATTGCACTGCACAAAATGAACATATTATAAGGTTGTAACTATAAACCAACAAATTTTATATAATGCAATAATTTTAAAAACAGAAAAACAAATGTATTATTATTATTTTATATATTATATAATATGTTGTGCAGAGGACAGTGGTTAATAAATTCCTGATGATAATTGATTTGTGGAGACTTTCGTGAGAATCTTTTGTTTACTTCAATCTTGTTGTTTTGGTAAAATTTATTTTGACACAATCCCTGCACAATCCTATATTTATTATGGAGTAATGATAATTGCAAAAAAAAAAAAAAAAATTAGTTCTCCTTATTGATCTGATTTATAATAATACTTTTTCTCTTGAAAATTAATCTACATAATATATAAGTTAGCCGCACTCTCAGATTTTTTCGCTCTTATTTCAATCTTTTTTACTTAATTTCGCACTAATCTCCAAATTAAATATTATTAATCGGACAATCGCCATCAATATAGTGAGTGCTGTCCATTTAATACAACTTAATTCAACCGAATTGTTTTTTTTTCCTGGAAAAATGATAAAAAATTTCCTTGATTAGTGTTCAAAATTACATGAAATTTAGGAAGAAAAATTATTAGCTATATTGGCTTTTGCATAAAAAAATCATAAATTGATATTAGCTTTTCACTTTAAGCCACCTTGATGAAAACGGATTTGTTTTTCTTGTTGACAAACTAGCTTCACTTTTGTACTCCTTTCGAAATTCAAAATGAATTTTTAAAGCCGAGTGTCCCTGGCGAGTGCCAAAAGTACCGGGCATGTGACCAAACTCACTTAGGCGCCGACGACACGCCGCGTAGGCAAATTAAATTAGGCTCTCGCGGTCGTTTTTCAGCGGTGCATCTTCTCCTAATTTCCTCGGAGGCCTCGGTGCAATTCGGGAACGTGCGGCGCACAAAGCAGAAGGGCGCCGAGTCATCTGAGGTGCTTTGTCATATGTCAAGTGGCGGAGAATGGATGGGCCCGACTGACACATATAGCTGTATAGAAACAGAGTGTGTGCGGCGACTAATGAAGGAGCAAGCACGAGCACGACGGCGGCCATCAGTCAGTGTCAGCCGGCAGTTAGTGGCACCATCAATAATACTCCTAACACCGGCAAGCACCAGTAGCGCCCTTTTTCGCCTCCAATCATTCTTTGAGCGGCGGTGGCGGCGGCGGCAGAGAAAAAAGTTGTGCTTCTTTTGCTCTGGTCGTGCCCCTCTGTGGCAAAAGAAATGAAAATTTCGTGCCTCTCGGCACAAAATCAAGATAAAAATTTTGCTCTTTTCAAAAATTTAAAAAGCTTTTTCATATTGAAAATTCATGACAATATTAACAAATATAATATGTGTATAAAAAATATCAGATTTTATAATTATATATCAATATGATGAAACTTATATCAAAGCAGAGAGTTATTGCAATGATATTGGGAATTTTTATACTCAGAATTTATTCGAACTCAATTTATTAATGCTAATTTAAAAGCCGAAACCTATATTATGAACTGAAAGATAACAAACTAAAACAGTTACAAATAAATTATGCAGCACTTGCTTAAAGAAAACAATTATATTTGAGGCTCGAATATAATAATGATAAAAAAAATACCTCCTTGACTTTTACATTAATATACAACTTCCTCATGTAATAGAGTTGCAGGCTGTGACGGTAAGTTATAAAAAAAATATGTTTAATTATAATTAAATCAAGTATATATTTTCCCTCTTTATTCTCTCAAAAACAATTTTTGCGGCAGTTACAAACTTTGTAGCTGCCTTCTATAAATTTTCCTCCTTTATGAGTTAAATTTTATTGCTTTGGTTCAACTATATTCATTTTTCCGAATTCAATCGAACGCAGCAAAGAGGTGGCAAGAGAGTTTTTACCCCGAAACGACGCGTGTACGATTTTTTCTCCTTTCTTTCGCCCCGCGAGCTTTGGCTCGTTGAATATTTCAGCAGACGCTTTTTAAATTTTTAAATTCACTCCGACGCCGAAATATTTAAAGGGCAGCTTAGCGCCCCGCTTGTTTACTTATTCAATGGATTTAAAGGCTCTGATGTGACGACGCGCCTTTTGAATTAAATATCTCATGTCGTTTGCAATCTCGGCCGTATTGGACGTTGCGATAAACTTATTTTGAAAACAGGACGTGGTCGTAAATACTGATAAATACTTAAAGCTCTAAGGGCTTCCGCATGCAAATATCACAATTTTCAACATGTGTTATTTTAGCGCGATAAACCGTTTTAAAAATTCTGTAAAAACGTACAATTTTACTTTGAAACCAAAATTTATTTTAAAGTTAATACATTTTCATAAAAAAAAAAAAATTTATATTTATTATTTACATTTACACGAGATTTTTAAAATTCATGATACTATCAAAATTTATTGTAATTTACGCAACAAGTTCAATAATATTTTTTGTAACTATGCGGCCAACTAGGAATCTAGTTAAGTCACATTTCAATTATTTAAAGTCAACATAAAATCGGTGTCAAATTTTATTAATATCGAAATTGTAAATTCCTATTACGTAACTTCCATTTTAAAATGAGTTTGAAAAATATGTAATTAAAAATTTTCTAATTGAGTTGCTTTGTAGTACAGTGAGTAAAGTTGCAACCAAAACATCTACATTATATTCCCGTCTGTCAAAACTCCCACGGCCTCTGCACTAATTTGCATCCAGGTTTTCATCTCATCGAATGTGAAAAAAAGAATTTCACGCTTGCTCGCAAAACAGCTTCAAACATTGAATTGCCTTTAAAGATTTCCATAAATTTCCGTCCTTTATCCCGGAGCGGCGGCATTGTTTTCCCCCGAGTAAGACAAACACAAATCTGATGTGCCGTGAGCTACCAGCAGCAGCAGAGCCGTGCAAATCCTCTCAAATATTTATCAATCCTCACGCGGCGATGCTCTTCTGATTCCGAACACATACAATTTGTTGAGCGAATAGTCCTTTCACCAAAGGATTTTTAACCCTGCACTTTTTGCCGGAGTAAATTTTTTCCTCTCTCCCGGGAGGGCGCGAGGAATAATTTTCACATTTATTCGTTTTCGCGCTCGCGGGCATAAATTTTGATCGGGAACATATTTCCCTTCATCAGGGCTTTACAAGCGCGGCCATAATATATCAATAAAGTTGAAAAATGATTTATTACCTGACCTCTTACAAGATTTATGTTGCGCTACCGCCTTGCGCCTCCGCTCTTAAAGTTGATGTGTTCGCCTCCTTCCTGCTTTTTCTTATTCACATCACTTGAGATACAAAAACACAAGATTGATGAATCGAATAAATCTCTCGCGAGAGCTTCCAGCACACCATTGATGGCCCCTGCGTGCATGCATAATGCAGCAAGGTGAGATCTCGCTCAGTCAATCACCGGAGACGCCGGCCGACGACGCTTACTGCAAAAATATCATTTCATATCAAATCTATTGACGCGCATTCAACAAACACTAGACCAGCAGAAATGCACTGATATCTTAGGTGCCATTGTGCTTCAGCTTAATCAGTTATTTTTAATTATAATGAAAAACAGTCGATTTTTATCTGTATTTACAAGGGTTTATGGAAAGAACAGAAATTTTACACTATTTGTAAATTTTATTTTTTTCATATTTATACATAAATGTCGGTATTATAATTTTTCCCTTGTGCCAAATTTCTGATACTGTATAATTATGAGTGATTAGAAGTATATATGTAATTATAGTGGCAGTACCATATTAAAAATGAAATTGATTTGTTGCTCAGATTTACAAATGCTAAATTCTATAATGTACTTAAGCCTGAATTTTAACAAGGCTGTAAGCAGTAAGTCGTTACACGTCTATTGTACTAACGATTGAATTTCTAATAGTTATGAATTATACATGAGATTGAATACAAATACAAAGAGAGAAATATTTTATTTATTCCAAATCATTTGACTATTTAAATTATTAAATTACCTAAAATTATCTTTTATATTTTTATTCTAACAATAATTGAATAATTATGTATTATTAAATCCTCTAATTTATTGAGGGCATAAAAAGCTCCAAACTAAGTTGAGTGAGAACAGACTGAAAATGTGCATAACAAGCAAAGATATAGGGTAATAAATTAAATTAAAAGACAAAATTTGTAAACAATTAACATTTTGCCACACACTATTAGCTAGGATATGAGGGATATGTGTTTTGACCAAATTCAAATTTCGATGATTATATTGGTTGTTAGTTTAAGCTTTTCTTGGCTCATCAACAATTGATATAATATTAAAAATAAAATAGCAATCACAATTCAAAGAGTGATCTTGCTAAATTTCTTTAGTAATGTTCATCATAATAAAAAGTCTTAGAAATCATCATACAAATCATGATGCACATCATCCAGATTTCCGATCATCTCAGAAGTTTCCTGTTTCCCAGGAATTTCGCAAATAAATCCCCTTTCCTTGATGCATGGATCATCGACCAACTCTCCAAGGAAAACAGATCCACACGAATTGGCTACGCTCTGGTTTTTGTACTCATTGGGCTCCTCAGGACTTTTGCGCCAAAGGTAACTTTGTATATCCAGTTTTTCCCCATCCATCCAAACAAAATTTGAAGCATCCATGTGTCTGTCATAACTGACCGCTACCCACCAGTGATAGTTTGGAATCGTTTTATTCGCCTCGTTGGACACAAACCTCAACAACTTTTTAGTCTTCGGCGCAGCTAATACCATGCGTTTGTTGGCACAGAGCGCAACTGCATTTGTCCAATTAGTCTGTAGAATATCTAAAAGTATTAAAATGATTTTACATAGAAAAGGCAACCTTACTTCATGGGCGAAGAAAGTGTAAACCTTTTTAGTTAAAAAGGTCAATGATTCTTCTGCAGCTTCAACCTATGTATATAAATAAGATGAATTAATAAAATGTTTATTTGCAAAGAAAATGAAGGAAAAAGGAACTATTTTAAATAAAATTATAGACAATTTTATCTCACATCAGCAGAAGTATGCGTATTTCAATTTTTTCTTTGACTCCCTATGCAACATTCTGCAATTGACATTCAGGTTTTGTAAAAATATTTATTCCTAAATTTAATGTGATATATAATATTATCTGCAGGGATATTAAAATTGCATTGTATTTTAATAATCTTAAAAGATTTTATTATTATAACATTATTATCTTTCAAGTGGTCTGAATATAGAACGTATATATCTGATTTTCATTATTTTAAGCTTTGAAAAAATTGTATAAATTATTTAAATCAAATTAACTTATTGCCCAGGAGATATTTATGCTGTTTATTTTTATTTCATTTCATTCATTTTCATTCATTTTATTTGCACATCTTGTAAAATCTTCAACTATTTATTTTTAGTTGGAAAAATATCGTAAATCTGAAAACACGTCTAGTCTTTATTTATATGAATTTACAAACTGTGCTTGGTAATCATAAAAATAAGTCATGGAAATACCTCGTACTGAGATGCATTCATTTTCTTTTCAAGTTGAAACTTGATTGCTTTCAGTTGGCTCTCTTTGTTGCTTAAATCAGCGCTCTGCAAAAAAATAATAATTGTGTAGTGAAACTAAATATTTTATATCATTATATTTTTTTATAATTTCTGCTCGTAATCCCTAATCAGTTCCTTAGAATTAGAATAAGCGATTATGTCACAGTTTTCATACCATTGAAGTAATGCGATACACCATTGTACTGACGTCCACCAGATAAAAAGCGACGGCAAGGCCATACAAGGCCCTTAATATGGTCATATCCTTCAAATCCATCACTCGTATTCACTCCTTCATTTTTAAATAAGTGAGAAGTTTAAATTTTCTTGAAACTTTTTTATCAAACTTCCGCCAGCATATAAAAAAGATTGCCATGGGTAGGGAAATGTTCTTATTTGGATTATAATTTCCTTAATGATCTTTTTTAATTTCTTGATTAATTTTACCACATCCTGTGAAATATAAAAGTTGGTTTGTATGAATAGTTAACTGAAAAACAATACACTTTCGAGAAAAATCCATTAAAAAAAAATAATAAATAAACTGTGGGACAAAATAGTTTTTTAATTAAACGTAAAATTTTCTAGGTCAAAAGTTAATGTGGTAGAATAATAAGACGATAAAATTTTTCATTAAATAACATTGATTCTCAATTTGATCGCTCAATATTGCATAATTCATCATTCACGGCGAGTCGCTTTTGAAAAACGACGCAGATCGAATTTCAGTGGCGAGCGGCGGATTACACGCGGATAATGCATTTACAAGAGCCATTGTCTTTATTGGAATGAGCTACTGATTGGAATGCCCGATCTCGAACCCACGGCGATATTTTATTATTATTATTAATGCCGGGGCGTCCCGTGGAGAGCTGCTCTCTGCGTGCTGCATATTGATCAGGTGCCGGTAATGCTCGGACAAAATTCCTCTCCGTGTTTTCACGTGGGATATCAATTTGAAAGACCACCCACCGGAGATATTATTCTCATAAAATATACATTCCGAATCGCTTTTGGCACCGCAATCAAGTGGAAATCGTTTGTCACAAATTCAAATCAGAGCTGGAACGAACTTGCGCCGCGAGAAACTCTATTTCGAACGCGACTTGATTTTAAAAAATCACTACACGTTTCTAATTCCCAGCAGAAGTCGAGAAAGCAGAACAGCGTGTTGATCCCGTTTTATCCTTGCGAGCGCCGTAATTTATTAGGGCGCGCGAAAGAAGAGCGTTCCGGGAGATGTATGGCAGACAAGCGGCGGTGTTAACTTCCGCAATTAATCGGTGCCATTCTTGATGGGTACATTTTCAGCACCAGCTGTTCAACTCGTCCGGATTATATTGGCCCAGATCGATATAAATCTAGTTGCAGGAAAATTTATTAGTCAGGCCGTCGTCATTAGCGCGCAAAAACTTCTTCTTGCTTCAAACGTGCAGTGCTTTTCTTCTCATATCTCTCTTTCTCTGGGTGCTGCGGAAATAAGAAAGGCTTTTGCGCGCCGAGATCATTGTCTGATATATCAGCAAGAGCTAGATTTATCCTCCAACTTGTTCTCGGCGACTTTTATGTGCAGACACGTGAGATGCGCACCGCGTGATAAAGTATAATGCGCTGGTCTATAACTTAAATGCATTGCGCAGTGAAATGCAGAGATTTTTCCATTTTACAAGTAATAAATGAACTGCATTAGTAAAATATTATGAAACAACATAAAATACAAAGTTATTTTCGTCTAAATTAGTTAAATATATTTTGAACTCTTCTAAATATTTAAGCTATATTTTTTTTAAATTGAAGTTTTATTATATATTTATATATCATTTGACATTTTACCTGAAAATATTGATATTCCTAATAAAAAAGAAAATAAAAATAAAAATAAAAATAATTATATACTGGATCTTCTCAATGTTTATACAACATATCATGATAACATTTCAAATTAGTAAATTAACTTTTCCTTCATCTTTGTGGTCCGCCCGTATTAATTAAAAAAAGGTTAATTAAGTTCATACTTTAGATAAATCTCGATTTTAACTCAAAGGGAGGCCTCATACCAATGATGAAAATGATATTTCATTGTTGTTACCCAATTATTGGCTTTACTAGGTTGATGGTACCATGTATGATTGGTCAACAATAAAAAAATTGTGGTGTGGACCCCCATTGAAACTCATATAATTTGATTATAAAAGTGGTTGATTGCGACAAGAATTCAATGTTGAGTGGTGAATATTAGGCGTTTCAGAGTAAAACAAAAATTAATTGAGGTTGAACGAAACGTGTTTTAGGCAGAGTAATAATGTAATATTAAATGTTATTAAATATTTTGAGACTCCACACCATTCAAAATAAATCTAAAAACTTGTGAATTCTGTAAATATAAAGTTTTGCAATTGTCGAATTTAACATACAATTTTAATATTAATCTCTCAAAGGGGAACTATTTCTCATTTTTTTATAGCTTTCACTCTATTTTTGATAAGATTATTTCTCAGCACCTTTAAAGAATCAAAAATATATAGTAAAAATTATAAATCTAGCTATTCTCGTTATTTAATTTTGCTTCAAAAAAGGTAAAGAAAAACAGGTTTCTTGATAATTCCTGCCGTGAAAATTGAACTCTTAACAAGGAAACGCACTCAAATTGCTCGCCCCTTTCACGGTTGGATCGGAGGTCAAAGGCCCTCTTTCACCGCGGCTCCAAATCCCGACTAATTCATTGCCGGCTGAAAATGCAGAGTGTGTATTTTCGAAGCTCGGCCTTTTAATTAATGCACGAGCTGAGTGAAATCTTTTGATGTGTCTGGTGCTTATTACAGGGCGGAGGAAAAAAGTGAAGCTATTTAGGCAGAGCTGCTGGCTGAGATGTGAAAAAGCGGCGGCTTGATGAAGGGCTCTGTTGACCTATCTGACGACACGTCGTATCTTACAAACCGCACGGCTGTCGCCTCTAAACTGTCAACCTTTTTTAGAACACGCCACATCCTCGGCTTTACTGCTTAAAATCTCTCGGGCTCGATTAGTAGTGACATTCTAGAAGCCCCTTCGTCGTCGAGTCGCGCGCGCACGAATAACAACAACACGAGTTTTGTGGAGGAAAACGAAACGGCGACATATTCGTTCCGCCCGAAATGCTTTTCATTCCCGGGCCACCACTCCATGTGCTTGTAATTATTTACGCGCGCCACGTCATAAATGTCACCACTCTCGAAGAGCCAGAGAGGAAATGCGGCCGGATCAGTGTCACTCCCTATCATAAAACTTGAGTGTCCAAATTTGACGAGATGCTATCAATTCTGGAACCCCCATCTAGAAATATTCAAGATTTTTAAAGGAAGCGAGAAGTGCAAAAAAAATCATTTTGACACATTAATTCAACATTTCATTTCTAAATTATTACTTGTGACCAATCGCCTTTATGTGGAAAAAATTTCATGTCTAACATGCATGATTTCAATAAACATATTAAAAATGTACTCTAATTGTAAGCTTCACTTGAATGCACAGTTATTTTTCTAGATTAAATTGTTTCTTTCATTAAAATTAAAGAAAAACGCTAAATGTATTAAAATCTTATTGGTGTTTATTATTTTTCAAGCAATTATAATTAAAACTTTGCTTTATTTATAGAACGCTCCATAAAATTTTTGTGGGCGAGTTTTGCAATTCGAACAATTAAATTTAAATGTGTTGCTGTTGGGCCCTTTCTGATTGTAAAAAGTTGTTTGAAATTGACGGGAACTTAAGATTTGTTATGTATATAAGATTAAAAAAAAAACTAAATATCTAAGTAAGAGATCCTCAATTTAACATCAATACATTTGTAATACAGTATAAATTATTACCATAGCTGTTCATTCATACATTTATCGCAATAAAATTTTTATATATTATTTATATAATAACTTTTCCCTATAAAATATGCCCACTATTACACTACAGATTGTATTTTAATACACATGGTTACTATATGTGAGCAAGATATAAATATATCATTAATTATGGACTATTTTTTTAAGTAACTTTTTAAATTGCATTTTTGAAAATATTATAAAAATATTTGATAATAATAAAATTTATTTTAAAAATATAAATATTAAAATTTTTTATATTAAAAAACTATTATTTTTATTTTTATTTTGTTCTTTAAAAAAATGTGTTAAAACTTTTTGTTATAATCAATAATAATCTTAAGTTAATTAGTTTATTATAAAAAGCATTGTTTTCTCAATCACGATCTATGACACTCTAATTTAGAAGCAGCACATTTTCATATTATATAGACACTGCATAAAAAATACTTCTATTTAAATCAGAAAGATCTAATTCACTTATCATCCCTCTCGCTTGTTTTTATAATATTTTTTCAATTGGGCAAATAATATAACCTTCTGATCATTGCTGATCATTAAAATAAAATTATCATCATATATTAAATTTTTAACTAATTCAAAAGAAATGAATTTGCAAGGAAAAAAAGTATTAAAAAATGTGCAAAATTTTAGCAGTTTGCTTATAAAATTCAGCCTCTGTAAGGTTGATCTCCTGTGCATGTCGACATAAATGCGCACCCTTGTTAATGGAGGTAAGCCTCAAGAAGACCACACGCTTTAATTAACTGAAAACGGCCGGGCAGTGACGCGCGTGGCAATCAAGCTAATTGCGAGGCGTCGCAGATAAATCTTGGCGCGCGCGTGACTCAGCGTGACAGCCGAACCGCAATCGCGCGCTGAATCAATTGCGAGCGCGGGGGTGGCGTGTGATTTGTTTGGGTGTCGCGAGAATCGGGCGGGCGGGGGATGCTCGGCACCCCTGACCCCTTATTACCCGATAATTTATTGAGCGTGTGTGCGATTAGAATCAAGTAAGCAGGCAGCGCGCGCGGTTCGATTTAACCCGGCAATAATTAACTCGGCTCTGCGAGATTTACGACCCGTCGCTGCCGCCGGAGCCGTGCGCGTCGTAACTCATTCTGTGTGAAATCTGCTCTGTCTTTGGCCTAATTTATACACATATTTTTATCCCTGCCCCCTTTATGAATTCATCCCACTTGCAGTATTGCAGGGGCGCAATTTGCTGAGATTTGGGGCGAAAAAAATTTTGAAATTTTTTTAGTTATTGCAAATATTTTGAAGAAAAGGATGTGCAAAATTATTTTTAATTCATAAAATTGAGTCATTCTGCAATGACTTAAAAGTCTGCGAAACTTCTATGGAATATTTTTCAGCCTCTTCGCCAAAGCAAGACATTACATCATTAAACTTAGAATTTGGTATAATTACGCTTAAATATAATAATTTTTAGATTTCCTCTTCCTTA